ATAGTATTAAATGTTAAATGATCTTTCAAATTAATTAGATCTTTGACAAAACCTCTTTTTTTTTTTTGCAACTACCATCCAAAAGTAGAATCGGTGGAAACAAAGTCTATTTTTCAAATATCATTAAAGCATGAAGTTTCCATTTAGATCACATTATTGGCAAGGCACTGAATCAGAGAAAAGCTTACAAAGCTTATATAGTAAGTCAAAAACTTCAGCTGGGAAATGTATTTGTTAATGGTAGTATTACTTTTTGACAATATGCAATTTTAATGTTGAGGATTATGAACGGTACTGTATGTCTTATCTAAATCCTCAGATGAAGCGATTAAAAAAATTATGCTGCTGGGCACTAATAATTACATTCCAGAGAACCCTCAAAAGATTCAATTTCTCTTCTGAAACATGCTAATCTGGCAAGAAATAGGGGTAGTCCATAAGGAGTAATGGAACATTCCAGAATTCTCCAGAACATTTTATTTCTTGGATAAGAAATCCAACACATCCCTAGTTAGAATTGCTTACTGTAATAAGAGGCCTAATTGATCAGGCAGGTCAAAGCCAAATTTAGATCTGTGTTTTATTCCCAGAGCGGCCAGCATAACAAAAACAGGAAGCCTTTAACAAGGTTTTCTTGCTTTCTAATTTCAGATGCATATGTACTTAAGATAAGCTAAATTGTTTTGTCTCATATGCCATGAAATCTCATAGGTGCATCTCACCAACTGTAAAAACAACATTACAACACTAAAAACTTGATTGCCTTTTTATGACATCCAAAATCAATTGCCTGAAATAGCTTCCTTCACAGCCTAATGGCAGGAAGAACCTTGGCCCTCAATTATTGGATGCTGGACCTGAATTTCCAGTATCTCTTTATTGCTACCTACTAGTTATCCAGATTTTTGTAGTTCAAATCTGATAGCCTGATTCAAGTCAGACAGAGCAACAATGCTTCCAATTAATTTGCTATTTAACGGATATTCAGAGATACAGAATCTCACCTACAGATATCTTATGTATCCATGCAAAGCTTTAACTTCATGAATTCAACAAATCTTTTGAAAACTGACTAACTTGGTGATTTACACTTTCCTAACTGGTTGTAATTTCTATAGGTTTTTGTGTGAAAAACCATTATATTTCTCTGTCCTGAATTTTCCCTTATCCCATTTATTCAGGAACTTGGGAATTGGATATTTTATGTAATAATTGCATAGGTAATTGCATCCATTACAACTTCCTAAAATTCAGTTTCGTTTAGCTTAAAAACAAGCAATTGAAATAACAACAGTAACAATTTCACTTACCTGATAGAGAATTCATTCAATGTGCCCTCTCTTGAAGAATACGTATGTTGTGCTAAATTTAACTGGGAAAAGTATAAGCAACTTTACTAATAGGCATTTGGGTGCCAAGCCACAAGGGACTTTGAAGATAAACATCAACACTTTGAAATGGATCCCGAAGTTAATGCAGTGACTGCAGCATATATGTACACATTGGGAAATCTATTTCGAATTAGTTGGTGGGAGATAGCATTATAGTCCAGCTGAAGCTTTTAAAAAAATATGTTATATACATGTATAGCAGGGTGTCAAACTCAAGGCCCACAAACCAGATCCGGGGTGCTTGAATATGGCCCGCAGGGGTCAGCTTAGAAATAGCAAAGGACTAGCCTGGCAGCCAAAACGGGGAGCAAAGTGCTGCAGGAGGCATCCATCCCGTCTACCCCGCCCCTCTGCGCCGGCCAGTGGAGGAGAACTACAATGCTGATCCGGCCTTCAAAGAAATCCAATTTGACTTCCCTGATGTATAGTGTGTTGCAATATAGTGATGAGGACATGGATCATTGTTGTCAAGATCCCCTGATCCAAAAAGGCCTGCAACTGCTACACTAACAGAGACTGAAAAAAGTCCTCCTTACTCAGGCCCCCCAACTTATCTACCAGGAGTTGTGAATTCAGGAGGACCTACCTGCTTCTTTAAGAAGAGCACAACTCATTTAAACATGGAATCAAAATCAAACTAGATCAATCACCATAAATAGTACCTCCATCTTGCAAGGATTTAATTTGAGATCGATTAGATCAGTGGTCCTCAACCCCCGGTCCGCGGACCGG